TTGGAGAGCTGCGGAGCCGGACCTTGAACCTCTCCGTGTGGCATGCTGAGCCCCTGGGCAGGAACGTGTTTCTGGGGGAGGTGGAGATGTCTCTGAGCCACTGGGACTGGACCTCCTCTCTGCCACTTTGGCAGGACCTGCAGCCAAGGGTAGAGAAGAGCACAGAATGATTTGAATGCAAATAGACAGTCATGCAGTCACATAAATCAGTTTGAATTCTCCCAGTACAATAGTTACCTAAACACTATAATGTCTGCATCTAGATTTGTTCAGTAGAGTGTATGTAAATGCACACTTGGTTGCAGTCACAGAGTACAGGGAGGAGTGTCTCTTGTGTCTGGGAGAGCTGAAGGGAGGCATGCTGTGAATTTCAACTAAGGTTTTATGTAAGCTGAATCTTTTCCTTCTTCCACGCGTCTGCCTCCCTCCCCTGGCTTTTTCTTTCTCCTTCTTTGTCTTTTTTCTGTCTTTTATCTTTTACTATTTTCTACTTCCCCTACATCCCCACACCACAGGTTAATTTGAATCCAGACTCTATTAGCAGTCGCGGGACCCTCCTGGTCTCTATAAAGTTCATCCCAGACGGATATGAGGGTGAGCACAGCACACACTTCAGGAATGCAAGTGATGTCCCACCTTAATCACACATCTTATACCTTGTGTGTGTGTGTGTGTGTGTGTGTGTGTGTGTGTGTGTGTGTGTGTGTGTGTGTGTGTGTGTGTGTGTGTGTGTGTGTGTGTGTGTGTGTGTGTGTGTGTGCGTTGTGTGTGTGTTGTGTGTGAGAAGGTGGTGGACTGCCTCTGACAGGAGAGCTTCACATCTGGCTTCGGGAGGCTCAAGGTCTCCTGGCAAACAAAGGCGGCGTCATAGACTCTTTTGTCAGGAGGTACGTCAGCGCGGCAACATTTTTCCCGATATGTTGTCATCAGGGATTGATCCTGGCAACAGTTTTTACTTGGAAAACATTCTCCAACTTTACTGGCACGGTTATTACCATGGTTAAACCGAATTTTAACATGGATTGACGGTTTCACTTACAAGCTGTTCAACTATTTATAAGGTCCTTTACATCCAAACAATTCAACTTGAAACGATTTAAATTATAAAGTAAAGTTTACAAAAAGTAAAAAAACCCAAGCCTAACTGGATAGGATTGTATCCACATCGTTTATTTTTTTGAAAAGAGGCCATTGAGTACTCAAGGGTATTGGGTGTTGTTATTTGTGAGTACAGCATATGAGTCTTTATCTTAATCCCAATGCTCCCTAATTTTCTCCATCATTGGTGTCCATCTCTTTATTAAAAAATCATTTTGGAAAGCATTAAGGTAATTAGGTGGGACGATCCTTAAGCCATCATGTTGTAATTCATTAATTTGGTTCTTTCTTTAATATCTGTAAAATGTAAATTCTTTTAAACATTTTTTAAAAGGAAATTACATACAGTTTACATCAAAGCAATTCATATTTATTAAATGTGTAAATGTAGGGTTTTTAACACGCACACATCCTGCATACAACATAAACAAAGCCTAATTAAATTCAAACACTTCCATAGTTCTGGTTTGAATCTGAATTTAATTGTCTAATTTTCCTAATCTAATCCCCACAAGCTACATACTCCCAGATGCCAGTCGGCAGAGTGGTCAGAAGACGCGGTTGATAAAGCGCTCCTTCAACCCGACCTACAACCACACCATGGTGTACGACGGCTTCCACTCCAGCGACCTGAGAGAAGCCTGCGCAGAGCTCACTGTCTGGCAGCGCGATGGCTTAAAGCCGCACGTCCTGGGGGGAGTTCGTCTGAGCTGTGGAACTGGTGGGTGTCGCTTCAATAACTCACATCTACACTAATGCACCAAATAAAAATCCTAACAATTATTTCTCTGCAGATATTGGACTATTAACTTGTGTGGCTGGGTGTTTTACTGTTTCAGCTAATAGAAACGCAAGTGTTACATAGTGATGTCACTATGTTATGGAAGTAAACAAAGGACAACAATGGAGGCGTTTGAGGCAGTTGGGGGGGGGGCTGATGTGCGGGAGAGAAAGTTTGTTATTTTAGCCTTGCAGACCATTAACATGCACAAAAACCTTTATAACATACTACAGTCAAAGGCAAAACCCAAAAAGCATAATAGGGCCTCTTTTTAAAAGCGTACTCATTGGTCAGGGCTCTTTGAGTGCAGCCCTCAGTGAGGGATGATATAATAAGCGATCAGACGGGGAACAAAGCAGATTCTCGTTCTGAAAGCAGCAGCCGGTGTTGGTGATTACGGACAGTGTTTGTTCTCCTGTGCCGCAGGCCGTGTGGAGCCTGGGCTAAAGGGAGGATCTTATCTCATCCCTTATCAAGTCACACTCAGTTCCGAGCCTTTGTTTGGCAGTGTGCTTTTTTAATTAAATCACTCATGTTTATCATAGGCTGTCTTCTATGAGTCAACACAGGTGACTGGAGGCTCCCTAATATCAAAAGTTTTGCAAGGTTATGAATAAAGCTTGAGAATTTGCCGTCCAAATGTAACTTTTCAAAGCTGTGATTAAAAATGAAATGATATCTCACGATATCACTTGACATTTCTTAGGCTTGTAGGAGGAAACCAGCTTCAGTGTCAGGGGACGAGACATTAAAGAGGTGTTTGGTTGGTTTAATTTATGGTCATCTTTGAGGACTGTGCCGTAAATCTGTTTTTGCTTCGTCTCCAGTGTTGATTTGGAGTGGTGTGCATTTTGTCCGGTTGGCATTTCAGGCATTTCAGATGGTCGTGTCAGCAGAGGGACGTTACTGTGCAAAGTTAAATAAGTGGAAAACAATTATGTTTTCTGATCATTTAGTTGTTGAGAAGTCGTTTTTGATAGTGTTCTTTTACTCAGTTGGTGCTTAATAGGCAGTGTGTCGAAATCACCACTGATAAAACGTTGGCTCTGTGGGAAGTGACTTTTATGATGAAGCTTTGCTTGTTGTGTACACACTTTTAACATAAAGTTGATGCATTAAGAGGGCAGGGCCTACTTCTGTAGACTTTTGGGATTGTTAGGTTTCACTAGGGCTGAACAACATAAAAATAAAGACATTGTTGTGATTTGGTCATTTTCCAAATCGCAGGAGGTGCAATATTTGTTAAAGGCAGATTATGTCGAAATACCTTTCTGACTTCAGTATTCTGGTTTCCGCAGATATATAAAAGCTTTAAAACAATTTCTATTGACTTGAAGAAAAAATATTCACTGTACATACTGTTGCAAAAAAACGAACAATAATAATTTATATATATTTTCCAATGAAAATGAGAATGATGATATACAAATTATAATTCCCTCCAATGTTGTGAATCATATTGCAGTTTAACATCAAAATATTTGCAATGAGATTGTTTTTCCAAACCCTTCAGTCGGTGTTGTTGCTGCTTTCAGCTATAGCGGTATATGTGAATACATTACTGCGGTGTGGGGATTGTTTCCTCGGCCTCATTAAGAAAGGCATCATTTCTCTTTGTGCCGATTGCGGTGAGGATTTCTGTGGTAACGTCTTAACATAAATAATAAATAATTCTGTGTGCTTTTGTATTAGGTCAGAGTTATGGGGAGGCTGTTAGCTGGATGGACTCCACAGAAGAGGAGACCGCAATGTGGACCTCCATGATTGACAACCCAAACCACTGGGTCGACGCAACACTATCAATCAGAACTAACCTCGCACCCCGGTCCTAGTGACCCAGAGTCAGACACGCCCTGCTCACACACAGACGTTCAAATAATGGCTGGACTGAAAAAAAGACACCCCTCCGCATATTTAACCTCTCTGTCACACACAAATGGAAGCCAGTAGTAGTGCAATATTGTGAATTAGTGGCGTAGATCTGAAATATTTAGTTTTAAAACCATATCTATCTGCATTTCAAATGTTTTATTTGTATGTTTTTGGTTCAGTGTGTGACAAAAGTGTTGTAATCAGATGTAGTTTATTAATTAAATATCAAACCTGAACTGATGAATCACCCAGTGGTCTTATTTGAATATATCGAGTAAATGTGAGATTAAATTGGCATCAAATAAACCAAAAAACGAATACACAGACCAGGAAAAATATAAACCAACAAATATTAACAATTAAAAAACAGTTACAAAAACAGAGTAAATTAAAAATAGCCATGTATTTATATCATGTTGTTTCCCAGACATCTAAAACTATTTGAGCATGTTAGAAAAATAGGCCCTAATCGCTTTATAGTAAAGAAACATCTATTCTTATTCAGACAATTGTAATTATTAGATATTCAGCTCTCATTGCTTTAATTGGGCAGGGTAGAAAAGGAAAGGCCTGCAGTTGCATGAATATTCTTTACTTTTGGATGGATTACATGACTGCCACCTTGTGGTCAGACTTTATACTTATTCAATATAGTTTTCAGGTAAATTACAGAGGACAATGAAGAATAGGGTAAATATAACAAGACCAGTGTTGTAATGTCTCCTCTTTATTTAACATAAAAACAAACTGTTCTCCATCCATCCTCCCATGTATCAACAGACAGTGGATTAAGGCATTTACCATATAAATCAGAACTCCTGTCCAGCAGATGGCGATATTAACTTCCCTGCTTCAACCTGTTATGAGACCAGAAGTGTCGGCTTTTCAAAATAAAGTATGATTTAATCCTACGCATAGTTCATGGATTACAGCCTTTGGTGGTTATATATAGGCCCATCAGTGCTCTTAGGATCATGACATTTTAATTGATCATTTGAATGTTACAAACTGACAGTGCTTGCTTTTCAGAACTTTAGGTCATTGTTAATAAACACATAACTGGTTATGTCGGTTATTAACCAACATACAATGTCGCATACTTTTTCATCGAGATCCCTAATTTCGTTTAAACTATTTTCAAGCCCTGTTTGTAATTGGAAACTTCCATGTGCAACTAAGTATACTTTTATTTTGAAATTAGCAACCGGGTGTAGTTCCCCTTTATTTCCGTGTAGCTTTTTGAGCTTTCACAAGTTTTACACAAAGGGAACACCGGTGGACTGCGTGCTGTAGTTGAGGGTTGAACGTGGATTAAAATGTCTGAAATGCAGCTGCTGAGGCTGTTCATCAGTGAGAGGCTGTGTGTGGCTGCAGAGGAGATCTTCTCCGCGGTGCAGAGGACCATATCTGAGCAGAGATCTCACCAAGACGGTGACCACCGGCATGGACTCAAACCGGAAGTGCATTCACTCAATAGAGGTTTGTTTGGTTTCTGTTTTAAAATGCTTAAGCAGTCTTAAAGACGGTATAACGTTACACAGGCGTGATACATGTCCACCCCACTCACCTTATGAGGGTTGGCTTGATAACAGAAACACATATTTCTATAAAGTTCAACAGCACCAAAGACTAACATGAATTTAGGTATTAAAAGGGTCATGATCATCATGTTGTGTAATGCCAAAGTCTTTGTCCCTGATGTAAAAAGTGCTCTGTCAAATATAATATATTAAAAGATATTATTGCAGCCCTAATACAAGGTGGGAGATTAAATGCTACAAACTCAAACAACTTTTGATTGCATGCATTTTAAAACACTCAGACAGCAGCTCGAAGACAAGCCAGAGAAAAAAACTTCAAGAATTATGGAAGTATAAAGTCTTGGAAGTGGACTCTCCTTATAGCTTACTTTTCTTTAATACAAGGACAGGATAATATAATGCTGAAATAAAACTGTAATCCACAAATACAATTTATCTTTTTTCCTCTTAACAGAGACGCCACATAGATTTATCAGTGCAATGGTGCAGACCCAACATGAAACGGATTGGAGTCCAAAGAGCTGCCACAACGACCCCAGTGTTAAACAGGAGGAGTGTGGCCTGCTGGTCCCAGACCCTCCAGCTATCAAACAGGAAGAGCCATGGAGCAGTCCAGAGGGAGAACAGCTACCAAACATGGAGGACACCAGCACTTTGAAAGTGACGCCCACCTTCATTTACTCAGCCATGACTGAGTTACAAACTCATGACACAGGAAATGAAGACAGAAAGCCTGTACTTAAAACCTCAGCTGACCGCCGAGAGATTGAAGGAAACGCACAGTCAAGCAGTGAATTTTTGAATAATTTGCCAGATCGTTCTGTAACTGTGAATAACATGGGGCCTAAGCAGGGTTTAGCAACAGTGACAGAGTACAGTATTGGAAACATCCACACGCAGAGCCCAACAGGGAAAAAACAGTGGACTAAAAGTTGTGAACCAAACAGCTCAACTTCATCAAAAAAAGAGACAAAGACAAGCAAATCATACTGCTGCAGTTTCTGTGGCAAAGAATTCAAGCGAAGTGCACACCTTGCCACGCACACTCAAATCCACACTGGTGAGACGATGTATGTATGTGAGTTGTGTGGTAAAGAGTTTCGACATGGAAACAGTCTGACTGCGCACATGAGGATTCACTCGGAAGACAGGCCACACAGATGCAGGATTTGTGGAAAAGAGTTCCGCCATGTTGGCAACTTGAACGTCCACACGAGAATCCACACAGGAGAGAAACCCTACACCTGCACCGTGTGTGGAAAGAAGTTCAGTCGGAATAATGTAATGACAAAACACATGGAAGATGTTCACTTGGCATGACTTAATGAGAGTTAATCAGAATATCCACTTTTCTGTAAATATGTCCTTACTGTATGAAATGGTAATACTATAAAGTAAAACATGGTAGAAATGGCTCTTGATCATAGGCGAATTTTGTGGGGGGGGGGTCATTACCCACCCTAGTGGCTGAAATATGTTACAGCATTACTACGTCTAAAGCTGTTCCAATACAAATATTTCGTATGTCAATATTTTTAATAGATGTAATATAATGATTGTTACAATACAAATCTGAATAATTTCATGTTTTGTTTGAAATCATTTCATTTTTGAGCAGTCGCATGTTGAGAAATGATTCAGCTATTGTGTTACAATAATTAGCAGTAATGGCTATGCGGCGATTTTTAAAACGTTTAAGGCGTCTACTTCTGCACTAAGTAGGACACTGGTTCATAATATTGTAGCGTGTTCAAGTAACCAAGGGATATAGTCGTCATCAAATAAGTATAAGATGTACACAGTTATGATTTACAGTTGTAATGCACTGTTGTTGGGGGGAAGAGACCCATATGAGTGTGTGTACGGCGGGCATGAGGCGTGCATGACGGGACGAGTTGTGTTCGTATGTGGAAAAGTCATACTCAGTGCAGACGCTGGCTTTATTGCTACTGTATCCGTAGCACCCCACGCAATAGTTGGGACTGTGTACTGACATCAGTAAAAAAGGTTTGCCCCCCCCAAGCGCAAATGTCAAACTCCGCCTATGCTCATGATGGGTTACAATAAAAGCTGTAAATTGCCTATATAATTGTTCTGTAAATTGATTATTATAAGCAAGAAATTATCTTTCTTTGTGTAAAATCTTTGGACAGATAACACTTTTCAGGTGATTATTCTTCCCCAGTAGTATGTGGTATAAAAGTATTTATTTGTTTCCTTCTTTTAATGATGCATTCTTATAAATATAATCCAGCCAGAAACATTAATATTAAGAATACATTGATGCAACAAACATAATCCAATAAAATAATGTATATTATTTTGAAGTGGGCCGCTCTACATAATGAGTGTTATTTATTAGCCTACTTAAATTAGGATTTGTCAAATATCGGAATACCTGAATTGAAATGTGTAATCCAAACTGCTTTTAAAAAGTGCCTGGTTTGTGAAGCTGAAAAAGCAAGATGTAACCGATTATTAATAAAAAGGGGAATTAAAATGCAATTTATTTTTCGATGCAGTAGTTTATATTCAATATTCGGGCAGTGTCGAAAATAAAGCCTTTTTCCGCTGTTGCCATGGCGACAGAAAGTAAACACCGCCGCTGTTGGAGCAGTAGTGTTGTTGCTGTCCGGTGTCCACACTTAAAATCTGTCCGAAATGTCTGCTATGAACAGAAAGGTGATACAAACTCTGGCTGAAACGATATCAAAGCACGCGGAGCACTGTGAGTATGCCCTTCAAACTTAATTTAATACGTTATATCTCATGCTACGATAGTCCTTTGTGAATCTTCCGCTATTCTACAAGTTTTGCGGTTTTTACTTGACTACCAGCTACGATGAAACTATAAAAAAAACTTCACACAGTTAATTGATGAGAGCGATTATGATCCCAGTCAATAAAACAGAAGTGGAGTTCCTCATCCGGGAGTTCAATGTGCTGCTGGGGGAGCAGACCGTCTCTGGAAGAGCAGTGCCCGGCCTGGACAGAGGGACGTTCAGGAGCATCCTGCACAACATCTTCGGGATGACCGACGACATGATCATGGATGGGGGTGATCTCTCTACTTCAGATGCATTTTAATGACAGATATTTTGTATTAGGATAACCAGCAGCAATACATAAGCACCTACGATAGTGTCATATTGTCAGAGTTTATAGATTTTTCATCTTCACAGTCTACTGTATATTTTCTACTTTTGAATACTGTTTTAATTATATTTTGAGATGTTTCATTTATAGTATTCTGAATGTATACTCTTTATTTTCTACTTATGTGCAATGCCTTGTCTGGTTTTTTTGCTGCTGCAATTAAAACATTTCCCAATTTGGGATCAATAAAGTACATCTTATCTTAATTGCTGAAATAGTTTTTCGGTTCCCCAGTTTTCAGGACATTTGACAAAGACAACGACAGCTTTGTTAGTATGAAAGAATGGGTTGAGGGACTGTCTGTATTCCTTCGAGGGACCTTGGAGGAACAAATCAAATGTAAGCTCTCAATCTTTCTTTTAGTCTTTACATGTGAACAAATATATAAAACATATTCTACAAACTATTATTCAGGTAATAACTCTTTCCCTCTTTGCACGGCGCAGACTGCTTTCATGTGTATGACTTGAACGGCGACAACTATGTCTCCAGAGAGGAGATGTTCCACATGCTGAAGAACAGCCTCATTAGACAGCCCACAGAGGAGGACCCTGACGAAGGAATCAAAGATCTGGTTGAGATCACACTTAAGAAAATGGTGAGGCGATTATGCTGTTTGACTTTTTATTTACTTCTTCATAATGTTCTCTGCACCACCTCCCCAAACCCCTGAACATCAGATTTGAGTGTTTCAGCGGGAAATAAGCAACAAAAAAAATTCCGTTGTGTACATACCTGACTGATTCATGGACACAACTTGAGAAAAGCACATTGTTGTTTATATTTGTAGGACTATGACCACGATGGTAGACTATCGTTTACTGACTTTGAAAAGTCAGTAAGAGAGGAGAATCTATTACTTGAGGCTTTTGGAACCTGCCTCCCTGACACTACGGTACGTTTAAATCAAAGACTGAAAAACTATAATAACTTATTACTTTTTATGACAGATATCCTTAATCTAATCCATTTCTTTTTCTGTTTTCAGAGTATTGAGTCATTTGAGCATCATGTGTTTCAGGAACAACTTGAAGAATGAAGAGAAATGGCATTCATGTGCATTTTCAGATATTTAGTCTTTAATAAAAACGTAAATAGATTTTGCAGAGTGGTACAACATGTGAAAATAAAAACAAGCTGCCAAGAGAAAATGTTTGAATGGTGATTTTCCAAAGCAGTAATTTCTGCATACATTTCAGCATCAAGGCAGCTCTCTAAATCAAATCCGACGACGTGGTTTCACCTTTTTCTCCACTGGTTTGAGGTCAGGAACTGATTCCACCTGAGAAGGATTACAGCAACAAAATTACTCAAATAAAAAAGGCATTAAATCTGCAATGAAGTCTTCATTTAAAAAAAAAGAAGAAGTATTTTATTAAATGCTGCTATGATCGGTTACCTTTTTTAATGTGTTCCTGATCAGGTTTGCAGTTGTGTTTAGTGACACATCCTCCATGTCCAGTTTAGGAGGTTCTGGTAGCTTTGGCCCAATAAGTGGCTCATTGTTTATAGTAACATCAGTCAGTGAGTGATCTGCCACGTCTTCCATTCTGCGTTTCCTGTTCTCCAAGTGTGTGGTCCTGGGGACAAATCGGACTGCTGCAGGAGCCTGATTTAAGGTCAGTCTTTGTTCAGTGCTTCTGTCTTTGTCTAAAGATGCTTGGCAGGAGCTTGAACTCTGAGGTTTCAGGCGTTTTGTGTCAATGATGGCATTATGTAATGTCCCCATTTTGTCTTCTGTCGGTATAGTCCATTGTGGATTTCCATGCCTGTAGTAATGATATTCCTGGGGAGGAAAAGGCAGTAGAGGAAAGCCTGAATAATGGCAGATGTTTGAAGTATTCCCTGTATTATCAGGAACAACGGTTTTCTCATGTCTGGCAATGACCGTCTCTGATGTGGTGGCCTTCTCTGATGAAGTGGGTTTCTCGTTTACGGCCTCCTTCTGTTCTTTTTCTCTTGCTTAGAAAAAAACAAAAACAAAACATAGAATCAGTCTTTACAATTACAAAGATCAAATGAAACCTCTGTATCATATGAAAAATCTGGCTTATTTCATTCAGTAAGTCATGGTAGATGAATATACAATATAGTACATATTTATAAGTACATACATATTGTTTTTACTCTAAAATAATAAGTCTGTATTTTATGAAAAGTGTACCTTTATTCCGAACGGCCCTGATTACATATCTCCTCCTGTCCTGCAGCTTTAGCCTGGTGTCTTCCACAGTCTCATACTCTGGGACGTAGCACACATGCAGCAGACCACCGTAAAAACTCTTCTCATCCATGCGTCGTTTTGCTGCTCTGAAACCCAAAGTTAATTTATTCAGCAAGTCTTTTCAACTGATCCAGCATTATGAACAATGTTGTGTGTTACACCCTGTACCTGGCGCTGGTGAGTTTCTGGAACTTGACCAGGTAGACCTCTGTGAACTCCTCAGCAGGGTACTCGTCCAAGGGCCTGTACTCCTCCACAGCCCCGTACAGAGCACACAGCTGGATCAGCTCTGTCATCACTCCTATGGCTGGGACCCCTTGGATCATCAGGTAATTGGACTCTAAATTGATGGTGTATACCTGATGATGCATAAAACAAATAGGATTACACATGCTCTATAATGTATTGGCCACACACTGATTATTATACGTAGCTCTGACCCACTTTTCTTACTTATATTTAGCATATTCTTACCTTAACAGCTCTGTCTCTCCTCCCATCTCTATATTTAGGTCGAGAAATGCATATTTTCTTCTGTTCATGGTGTTTATAGACATCTGGGACGCCCCAACAACTTGAATTGTTATTACGAGGCGCCGCCATGTTTCTAGAGATAACTTTCCGGTTGGCGCCCTTCAAAATAAGAGTTCATTGCTTTTCGAATACGCATGCATCTATTGCGTTTCCATGTGTAATATCTTATTTTGAAACGTGATTCAGATTGATTTCAGCTGCTTTGGTCTAGCTTCGGAACACACAGAGCACATCGATCGGCTGTGAGTTTGTTGCACATTTAACGCTAGCAAAGTAAACTGTCGTGGATTTGCAGAGCTAACGTTAGACAGGCTATGTGAAAATAATGTTTACTAATCAAGGCATTCAACCCGTAACTGTTGTATTTAGCAACACAAAAAACTGCTTTCTTCATATCTCTTCGAAGTTAATATCGCATCTTTCCTTGAACGAGGTAAGTTAGCTTAGCCAGATATCCCACTGTCAGTGTCAACTATAATAATCTTTATGGAAGTTTAGATTTGTGACACATTTTTAAAGCAAGAAATATATGTCTGTTTTTAAAAATAGGGTTTCATGCGTTTGTAGAAGTATGTTGGTTTTCTTCATGATCATTGTACATGATTTGTTTTGCTGTCAAAGTTGCCTCCAAATGTTTACATTACCAAATGACTCAAGGCCAGCCCCATCATGTCAACTTGCTCATCCTCTGCAAAAACAATTCCTGAGAGACTTACCTAGGGTTGGCTTTAAAGTTACCTATATGTAATTCGCTTTGGATAAAAGCGTTTAACAAGTAACATGTAATGTAATGTATCCTGGCTTCAACATAAGGGACGAAGAAGAAAGAGTTGAATGTCAGCAGAAGCGATAAGACTCCATGTGGTTTCTCATTAGGTTTAATGACAATGCATCCAATAGCGATACATAAGCATACATGAAACATTGTCTTTATGTATAAAGTATTCGTCACTATTCCATGTTGGTTTTACCATTTTAGTAGTAGTTCCCTTTAAGTCTCACTTGGTGGGGACAAAACTTAATATTTTAAATGAAACTGGAGACTGCCAGTGCATTTGTCTACATCCTGTTTCACTGTGGCCAATTTGCAACATTATAAATCCACATGAAAAATAACACATTTCAGATTTTTCTGTGTGATTCAAGGTGAGGTTGGTGTTGAGAATAATTGGTTTGACCCTCCTCTTCTTCAGTTAGGATTACAACTTGAGAATGCTCCATCCTTGAGGCTATAAAATGTCTTAAATAAACAAAAAAGGAAAATAATGACGATTATGCTGCAGAAATGATGTGCATTTTCATTATTCCCATGTAGTGTTCCATGCAATCAAACATGTCCAATCAACTCCCTGCGTTTGTGTTCAGAACCAGGCTTTGGAGTTGTCTTGGGGCCATGGATCCCCAGTATTTCTCAGCTGGACTCAAAACAGATCCTCCTCCAGCCTGAACAGCCATAAAGTGGAGCTGTGTCGACAACTGGGAGAAAAACTTGGCCTGAAGGATGGAGAGCAGGTACAGCTGTGCTCTGTTTCACACATAATATTCTATGATTGACATGACACATGCTGGCAGCCTTTTGACAGTTTAAAGGAAGTGTCAGTTGCTGTATGGCTGAGTATGTGTTTGTATTGACCGACTGTTGTGTGGTCTCTCTCAGGGCTTCCTGAGACCATGTCACCAGGTTTCATCTGTGCATCAAGTGTTTGTGGAGCCTCTGTCATTTGATGACTGGGAGATCTTGGTGAGTGAGTTTAATTAATAACATTAGTTACCCAATTCTTGGTGAAAAATACAATGCAAATGTATCTTCTGACAATCTTCCCACTACCAACGAATACACAAGGGATGTACTTGTGACCCAAATTCACATCAAACTGTTTTATTCTCTGTTTGCTGTGATTGACACCCCCAGGAGCTCCACAGTGCAGCGCTGGAGCAGCATCTGTTGGATCAGATCAGAGTTGTTTTCCGAGATGCCGTGTTTCCTGTGTGGGTGGACAGCCACACAGCCATCTACATCCAAATAGGTCAGAGTTAATCCGATAATTATCCTTTGTTGGTAGAAAATAGTATTTGAATCGGCTTTGTCTTCTGCCAATCTGAGCATTTCATGGGGAGAAAAAAACCAGAGAAGCGCTTTGATTGAAAACCATATTTGTGAATGTTCTGTGAGGACAGTATTCATAAACACAGTATGTTCTGTTCTTAACTCTTTGCAGCATCGCTTTCGCCATCTGTGCCATATGGTCGCTTGGAGCAGTTCACAGAACTAATTGTCTCTCCTAAAATCCGCGCTGGGATTGGCAACCTCAATGGCTCTCCAATGAGACAGGACGACAAGCAGCATTTTCCCGGACAGCAAAATATGGATCATTCCTCCCCTTCTGGAACATCATTAGAAACTACCTCCCCTGTCCTTCAAAGCCACCAGTGGGGCGGCATAGCTGACCTGAAGAGCCTGCTACGCTTCATGATTAAGGGAACTTACGACCCAGTTAAGGAGCTGCCACCTGTACCTGACGTGCCTGCCCTCTTTCCCGACTCTATCTGCAGAGTGTGTGGTGTACCGCCAGACTCTCTTTGCACTATAAGCCAGGTTGCAACAGCCGTTGTTCATTTATTTCCTCTGAGCCACTGGTCAAATGCTGTGCCAACCGGAGGTCAGTCGTCAGTGACTTATGGCCTGCTCTCAAAAGTTCTCTCCCCTAAAGAATCAAGGGACAGAGCCAAGCACGCCATGGAGAAAAAGAAGAACGCAGGAGTTACTAAAGTGACAGAAGGAAAGGAATTCAATGAAGAAGAAGCCATAGTGGTCAGGGTGGTCTGCCATGATACTGAGAAGCAAACAAGTCACAGTCAGAGAGAGATCCATAGTGGAAGAGTATGGGTGAGTACACTGTTCATCTAATTTAGGGTTAACTATGTTACTTTTACTGTCAGTCATCTTCTTCTTTATATGCTGTCATGTCTCTAACAATAATTGTGATTGTCAGATCCCTCAGCCCCTTGCTGTCAGGTTGAATATCATCCCACATTCAACAGTGAGAATTAAACCGGTGAAATCAGCTATCAAAGTGGCTTCCTCTATTCGCTTACAGCCGTTAATACCCCTGGTGAGTGCTTGAAGAGCCAATATGGTCACAGTGTGGTTTTCATGTATAATTAATTTATAACTCCTCACATTAGTACATTGTCAACTAGGCGTTAGATTAAACCTCTCTCTTTCGCTATGTCCATGTGACCTTTTGAAATGTACTTCTCAGCCTGAGGAAGACGATGAGGAGATCAAGACAGCTTTCCTTGGTTGGCTGCACACTCAGAGTCATGAGCCTTTAGCCTGTCTGACTGCTCGGTCTGGCACCATCCTCCTACATGGAACCGATGGTAATTCGAATGCACTCCTTCTTTTAAGTTATTGTACACATACACAGATGGCACTTGATAAAAATACTAATCTAAGATACCATAAATCACATTAAATGGCAGCACTTTAAACTACAATCAAACATAATTGATCTCCCATCTTCTTTTCCTTTTTTATAGCTAAGTTAGAGTTTGCTTTAACTGTACTGAAACCAGAACCAGGCAGTGACCCTACAGACCAGCTGTTCTTACTCGCAACCCCTGTTGTCAAGAAGGAAAACATTCAGGTACAAGCACACAGCTCATGTAAATTACACATGAATATGCTATCATTAAAACAGATTGCTGTAGGCAGTTTGTTCTTTGAATTCGTTCTATGATTTGATGCTTCTATCGTTTCAAAATGGTCAAATGACGTGTCGCCTACAGGTAGACAGAGTCACATGGCCAGCTGTGATATCTGTAGCCGAATCACCCAATCCAGAGCTTCCCTCCCTCAGTAGCCTTGGGTAAGTCTGTATATATTTGTGAGTGTGTGTGTGGGATTAAAACAAGGATCTCTTGAAGCATCAATTTCTCTCTCCATCTCTCACTTCTCTCTCTTCATCTAACCCCAGTGGGATCCATGAGCTCAGTACGAATGGATTTGACTTCATCTCCCACAGCCTTCTGGGTAGTCCCCTCTCAAGAGAGCTTGGTAGCACTGCGCAGGGTCTCCAGGGAGGAGCTCTTCTCATCACTGGTGCTAAGGTATCTTTTTACATAACCATAATACTGCTCACAGCTAAGATATTAAGAGTACATTTAAATACCTACAATCATTTTGAAGAACTGATGAAGAGTGCTAATTGTGCAGCTGAAACTTGTCAGACATACAGCACAGTAGTCATTTTTCTTTGATCTTTTATAAAATGTTTATGTATACTGCCTGACGTACACTGTGTTCAAATGTAACCTCACAGGGAAGTGGAAAAAGCACTCTTTCCCGAGCCCTCTGTAGAAGAGCTAGAGAAGAACTGGATGCACATGTGGAGCTGGTGGACTGCAAGAAACTTCAAGGTAAAACAAACTCCATACAGGTATCTGTATTAAATACAAGTAATATTAGTTTAATGGATATTTCCTTTATTTCCTTTTCAGGCAAAAGGTCAGAAACAGTAAGACAGATGCTGCAGGATATTTTTGAGCAGGCGGAGTGGAGGCAGCCTTCAGTCGTTCTTCTTGACGACCTGGACCACGTGACTGGGGCGCCAACATCACCAGAGCATGAGCACGGTCCTGAGGCGCTGCTGCAACAGCACATAGCACAGAGTAAACCAACAAATATATATTTAGCTTTTGTCCTTTGAAATCATGACAGCCCTAGTTCACAGGAAGGATTGATGCTCATCACAGGCCTTGCTGCTGTCTCCTGTTGTCTTTGTGTGTCTGCAGGTCTGCAGGATGTGGTGGACGAGGTGCTGCTTCACTCCAGCCTGGTGTGTCTGATCATCACCAGCCAGAGTGAGCATTCCCTCCACCCCTCCATCACCGAGGTGCAGGGGTCCCACTTCATCCAGGGCTTCGCACACATCCAGCCACCGGACCAGGTCAACACACAATCCAATTAAATTCAATTAATGTATCCACAAACAGTTTAAAAAGACTACTATAATCATTTAATCGCATAATTCAGATATGTGAAATCTGACACCACAATAAGCTATCCAAAGCTTTTGAATAGGGGTCGGGACCCTAGACGGCAAGAATTTAAAATATGTATTATTAAGGCATCTAGAAGTGGAGAGAGTTCATGTCATACACAGAAACATACCAAGCTAAAAAGCTCACAACAACAAGCAAATGCCATAAAAACAAAAAGTATAAACAGGTAAGATATAATAATCACAGACGCATTACAAAGGAGAATAAGGGTGTAAATGAAATGCAATTCAGAGGAAATTCAGTAAAGGTCACTTAATGTATTCAAGCTTTGACATATTTGCTTAACAGCTGCTGCCTGAAACACACACACAGGCATTTAAACATTGCTGAAGGTAAAAACCAACATCAACCTTTTTGCTAATGTTTCGTAGGCTCAAAGGGCGGAAATCCTCCGCCATCTGATACTCGGAAAAAGCTGCCTGTTTGAGGAGACCTTACAGACTCTAGACCTGGCGGCTGTTGCCAAGGAGACGGAGGGATACACACCCCAAGACCTTGAGCTACTGTTGCAGCGGGCTGTCCATGCCAACACAGTGCAAAGAGGACACAGTGACCAGGGTACCAAATATTATAGAATTCAAAATGTTTCCCATGTTATTGATGTAAGGATGATTTCCATGTGTTCTTTAAGTGTGCCTCCTCATATCTGTAATCATGCTAATGCTAGTTTATCGTTCCACCTTGGCACTATTTGTTTGTGCTCTGTATCTCTCAGGTGTGTGTTTGTTGTGGAGGGACTTTGTGCAGGCTCTGAAGGGGTTCACTCCTCCCTCGCTGTGGGGGGCAGACCTCCACACCCCGAGTGGAGTGGGACTGGAGAGGGTGGGGGGGCTGAGGGAGGTGCGACGGCAGCTGATGGACACCATAATGCTCCCGGCTAAGGTGAGTGTCCGTGTGACGTATCATAACCAGGAGGGTTTTCAGTCAGATGGATCCACCACTGTGCCACACAGGAGGAACAGAAGTCATAAATAATAATAGTGGATTTGATGACAATGCATTTACCAACAATTGTAATTTCAGCACCATAATTGCCATTGATCGTTGTCAAGATAAGATATTAAAAGTCACGACACAATTGGGAGTAATAGCAGTTAAGATGATAAATGCAAACCAATTGATTTTTTATTTAAACAGATATTATTTTAATTAAAGTCAAATCACGAGGAATTGAATCACTTCCAAATCTTATTCCATTTACCTTCAAAAATAATGTATGATGCTGTTTCATCCAGACCAATAAATGTGTAAACCTTGTTTATAAGATGTATGATAGAAAGCGGTGATAAAGGAGAAAAGTTTTCGAGTTCCAACAAAACAAGGATTTTATGATTTGATTTTTGTTTTCCCACAATAGTACAGTTATTAGAAAGCACACTAGGATTTTCTGGTGACTGGCGGTTTGATTTGATCAGTTTCTATCATTGAATTGTTTCTTGCAACTTTCATAGACTTCAATCTCTCTATTTCCCCCCCAAACCGACCCAAGAGCAGGTCCTGAAAGTGATGCCTTCAGGGCAGGGGCAGGAATAGTAATATGTACCCACTGTAGACTTACTGTCTTTTGAGAAGAAAGTGCACTTCATACAGTAGATACCTCAACGTTTTATATAGACAGTTTTGTGTAATGTTATTCACAGCACTACATAGACCAAATTAAGCTTCCTGCTGATTCAAATGAAATGAGATTAATAATACTGTAGGGATTTAACTTCAAGTAAAAATATCCATCATCCAGTGTCTAAGTTTTCATTATCTTTCTTTAAATGAAAATATGCTGGGTGTAAGCATATTTCTTTGAACAGATGAACATCAATGAAATCATCAGGTGTAATTCTTGATATTTGATTGTGGTTCTTTGGTGTCATCCAGTATCCAGTCCTGTTCTCCAATCTCCCCATCCGCCATCGCTCAGGAATATTACTGTATGGAGCTCCTGGTACAGGGAAGACGCTGCTGGCCAGGGCCGTGGCCAAAGACAGTGGCATGAACTTCATCAGCATCAAGGTAAGCTGGGATTTGGCTATGAAAGTAGAAATGATCAAAATAAAATATAATTATGTATATGTATTGGTTTTTGTTATTTACATGGCAACAATCCACCAACTAACACACAACAATCAGCAAAGCAAGTGAAACAAAAGCAGACTGCTATTGAACCAAAGATATATATGATAATACAAAATAAAACACTTCAGAATCTTACGTCCATAAAATCTCACATCCATTCTGACGGTCTCTCTTAACTAGAGCAAACTATATCTTCAGTGATGCAGAATAATTCTCTCTCTCCAGGGCCCTGAGCTTCTGAGTAAGTACATTGGAGCGAGTGAGCAGGCAGTCCGCGATGTCTTCCGGAGGTTAGTCAACACACCGTTTCTCTATTCCTGCAGCAGACCTTTATAGTTGCCAGTTTGAATGAATTAGCATTAAATTTGAATGGTAATTGTAATCTCCAGTAACAGTAATTAACGGAGATCCCTCTGATTGATCCAGGGCTCAAGCTGCCAAGCCGTGCATTCTGTTCTTCGATGAGTTTGACTCTCTGGCCCCCAGGAGGGGCCACGACAGCACAGGAGTAACGGACCGGGTGGTGAACCAGCTCCTCACCCAGCTGGACGGGGTGGAGGGGCTGCAGGGTAGGTCATAGAAACACCATGACAGTATACTGCATAGTGTTGCATGAGCTCTGGTGTAGAGCTAAGGTTTGCCAACATATTCTATTGTCATCTTTTACTAATCAGTAATGCAGGCTTGAGATTTTTGCTTATTTGCCGTCTTGTTGAGAGTAAGAGGGGAAGATCAATACCAATCATCCCGGTCCACAAGTCGTTATTGAGCTTTTAAGTAGCTGACAGGCAGATTGTGTTGCCTCCAGACAGAGCCAGGCTATCCTGTTTCCAGTCTTTGTGCTACGCTAAGCTAACCGTCTCCTGGCTCCAGCTTCATATTTATCAAACCGACATGAGAATAGTCTGTCCTGACTTTCTACACTTGGCAAGAAAATAATATGCCATTATTATGATGAATTGGAGACTATATAAACCAATTTGCTTTAGTATAGATTATTCATTTAATGTCAGAGGAACAAGCAGCCTCAGCTTTTATTAAATAAAACCATGGAGGTGATGGACACTGGGTCTTAGTAACATTAAAAATAGGCTATTTGATTGACTTATATTGCCTCTTTGTCTGTTTTGATGACATGGTTTTTTACACTATTGTTCTATGTGAAAGCTTAATGTTGTGTAAAAGTCCTTGCATGGAAACCTTTTTTAAAACGACGGAAATAAAATAAAGGGAAAGAAGAAAATGAAGTGTAAAAGTGTTCTCCACAATAAATAAGAACTCTTCATGTTTTTATTTACAGGTGTTTACGTGCTTGCAGCCACCAGCCGTCCAGACCTGATCGACCCGGCTCTGCTGAGACCTGGACGACTCGACAAGTCCCTCTACTGCCCGCCTCCTGACCTGGTCTGTTGCTTTAAAATCCACCACTCCTAATCATCATATGAAAAGACCTTTCGATGACACCACACTTTATACTCTTATTAAGATATATTTGTCTGCAGAATTCTTTAAATCAAACACAACCAATGTTCAGTGATTACGTTCATGGTAGTAAATCAACGGTTGTATTTCCAGGAGGATCGTGTGGAGATCCTGAGGGCTCTGAGCTCCGGTGTGGCTCTGGCTGCTGACGTGGACCTGGATCAACTGGCCACAGCCACGGAGCAGTTCACCGGGGCCGACCTGAAGGCCCTGCTCTACAACGCCCAGCTGGAGGCCGTCCACAGCAGCATGGGCTCCAGCACACCGCATGTAGGTCTACCTCAACACAAGTCACTGAGGAGCTCCTCTTGGGGTTGTCTTTGGTCTTACAGAGCAGGAAGCCAGGGAGCTTTTGGCCAGTCCATTTTTCTTTTTTTACTATTTACGGTTAACGTTGAAAGCAGCCAAGCTCAGGTTCTTTGTCTCTTAAAACACAATTCAAATCCCAATTCATGTTGACAACGACATGATTGGATGTGTTAAAACCCAAGTGCTAGCAGAGGCAGAATGAGCTGACATCTAAGTGATCCTTAATAACAATAACACAGTGAAGGTACTTTACTGTACTTGCACACTTTTGTATCTAAACGTTGTCCCTCCCTTCTGGGGGATCAGGATCTGACCTGTGGCTCCGACAGCGACATGAGCCTGTCCTCCATGATGTTCCCGAACAACAGCAGCGGCTCAGATGACTCGGTGGGGGAGGGGGACCCGGGCCTGGACCAGTCCATGGTACTGCTGGAGCCCAGTGAGCTTCGAGCTGAAGAACATCGTGGAAACGTTTGGAGAATTTACTTTGGAAGCTCCTACGAGTCAGATGTCGGGAATTCACCCATTTTAGGACTGGTGAGACCTTTCTTTTTTAATCCTCATTTAGGCATTAGAGAGTTAACCGGCACATTGCTCAACAACAATCAAAACATACACATACAATATGATTACACAAATATACACATTATTTAATGTGGGTTTTATTGTGGGACCCATTTAGCAGACCAAGCTAAGATGCCATGTCCTTTGGCAAACTAGTTTAAAGGAATCGTTTTTGGGAAATATGTTGATTATCTTTTTATTCAGCTGTTAGATAAACTACACATATCTCCACCCAGAACCACCACTTGTCATTTTACATTTATGATCAACAAGCTTTTTTTCTCTCCTGCCTCCCTCCACAGAACTCCCAGTGCGTCTCTGGACCAAACTCAACCCGGGCATCGTGTCGGGACCAGGGCGGCCCCCTCCCCCCCGCCTTCATGTCCTCCCTGCAGAGCGGGTACGAAGAGCTCGCCCCCGAGCAGTTAGAGCGCCTGCAGCAAGACGTTCAGAACATCAAGAACAACTACAGGAGCGCCAACGTAAGTGACCACAATAGAAAACAAAAATATCGAAATGCTGTTGTTTTTTGGACGTTGTCCACTGGACAAGGTGTCCGCTGGGTCTTATGTAAATACATCGATTTAGCGACAATAAAAGCATTAAAGTCTCAACTGACTTCAATAACCTCTTTGGCATAGTATACTATTACTTTTCTGTTAACATTTTCATGACAGACTGTACTACACTGACATTTTGTAAAAAATTGTCTAATTTTAATGGGTTACTCTTGCAAGACTTTTTAAATCCTTTTTATGGCGCACTATTTCTTTAAAATCTTTGTTTAAACCATTCTCTAAAGATGTATTTTGGCATTATATAAACTATTACTTTTTTATGATTTTTTGTAATGGTATACTCTAGTCTGAATTTCTATTGCATACTTTCCTGACATTTCTATGACCTTTTTTCATTTTCATCCATCATTATCTGTTTAATAATGCAGACTCAATTACATTATATTTTAATGTTTATTTATTAAAACGAGTTTATGCTTTACTGATTAACTCATTGCCATTGTACAAACTATTTTTTCCAGATTCCTTATTAAAACCCCTGTGTGAATGATACGTGTTGTTCTCTGTGCAGGAGGACAGTGTTCGGGGGCCGTCAGCCTCCAGCCGGCCCGGCCTGCTGCTCTGTCGGCTCCATCTGACCTCCGCCCTGACTGCGACCGCGGCGTCGCTCAGCACGACCGACTGGAACAGATACGCTAAACTGTGAGTAAGAAGATACCAAATAGAACTGCACTGCAACACTCACAGCAATATAAATTACGCTAATATTGATATATGATACCCCGGCAACACAAACTGTTTGCACAGCAGGAAGTAAAGAAATCGTATCACAGCTGTCCATTTATTCTGAAAAGAAAGTTAGCTTTTAATGGTTCAATTGCCTGTTGAATTTATCAGGCATGTAATGAGCAATTTATAGTCTCCACTACAGGAGGAAATGAAAAGATTTTGAAAAATTGGTGTTTCCAAGCTGTTTCCAAATGGCAGCAATAGAGTAATATGAATCATTATTATAGTCTCTCTAATGGTATTCAGCATTTTTATCATGTCAAATTACTTTGTTTTGCATTTTGTGAGTTCACTAGAATTATAGCTGAGCAGAGAAATGGCATGACTAACTATATAAAGCTGCTGACTCGCGTGTCAAGTAAATCATAAATATCTTGTGGAACAAAAAACAAGACAGATATTGTAAATCCTTTCTAGTGTTGGATCAGTCTATCAAATCCGGTCTCTGGTATTTTATAGTACCTGTTTTAAACATAGTAAACCTTTCGTAAATACACACTTTTAATTAATTTCTTCTTCTTCTCTATAGGTATGAAGCCTTTGGGGGTGTAGGAGAAGGACAGTCTGCACAATCAGTCACATTCAAACCTGGACAACGTGTGACTTTAGCTTGATCAAACATGCTAACTCAATCAACCTAATTTAGTTATTTTTGTGTTAGTTAATGAAAAATGTGATGTAATTTATATTTAAAGATTCTAACAATCAGTGTTTAACAGTTCCAGATGGATGAAGACATCTTAAATGTTTGTGTAATGTCCTACTGACTTGATTTTAGAGAGATATGTATCTACTTACAATGTAATTGACTGTACATATGTATAAATCCAGATGATAAATTATGTAATTTTTGTTATAAAATGCTTGCCTACATAACTTAATTAAACCCTGATTGTGAATTAAATTCATAATTTTTTGCTTAAAAGCACTGAATGTATTTCTTCTTTCTGCACACCCACACAGGTGTTTTCACTCAGTCCGCTGCTCAGGTTGTAGTTATCGTAACAAATATATACATAGTATAGTATGCCGTTAAAAATATCTTAAAAAGTGTCAAACAAAATGTCCAAAATCTTTTTTTAGTTTTCAAAAATATCATAAAATACTTCATAGCATAATATATCATTAAAATATCATAAAAAAGTCATAGCATTGCATGTCGTGCAAAATGTCATTGTATAGTATGTTGTAAAAAATGTCATAGTATAGTAAGTCAGAAAACTGTCTGAGTGCAACAGTAGTCTTCAGACTGTTCCCTGGCTGTTGCAGCGAAGCCATCTTAACAATATTTCCCTATTGAAGCGCTTTGCCTGCTGCCATCCTCCACACTGGAACTGGCAGCTTTGCAGAGGTAAATATAGACACACAGGGCTGCGTTTGGATCGCTGAGTCTTGTGTCAATCCCCCACAATGCCACATGAAAAAACAACGGCCCAATTGGAAACTTTCCTCTCTCCTCCTTCATCGATCTGTCACTTTCACCTCACACACCCGTGATAAGACAAGGGCAAAACTGTCACTCCAGGAAACTCTTTCAAAATACACAAACAAAAGGAAAAATAAATAAAAGTGGCATCTGAGACTTTGATAGGAAGCATTTCTGTCTCGTGGGTCTCTGCGGTGGGTCTGCTGACAGGAAGAAAAAAAGCTTGAGTTGGATTTGAACAGTCCAAAATGACTACTTATGTTATTCCTTATTGATTACTTTAGGGCAGTGGTGTCCAAACTTTTTTCACCAAGGGCCACATACAGAAAAATATTCGTAGGGCCGGGCCGCTCACTAGTGGTGAGGTATATTGCCTCATAAGTTAAGTTAGTTTGCAAAATCCATCAAAAGTTGGTAAATGATGCTTGATACTTGAATCTGCTTTAAGAAAAATAAACTGCCTACATCCCAGCTCTCCAGAGAGTTTCATTTAATTTGTTAGCAGCTCATCCCTTACAACAGGAGCCCCAGATTGATTATCATAAGAGGAAATAGGAAGAATATATTTCAAGTTTGTTATGTATAAGTTATTGGGCTTTTTTTATCGACTTAGATTTGTTAGAACATATTTTCAAATGTAATTGACTGAATTTATTGTAAATTGCGCTTATTAATACATGAATACTACTGTGTAATATCCTCCTGAGACCCAGAAAGAAAAAGGTTTCAAATTTCTTTCTTTTTTTTTTTAGATCACACAAGTCTTTAGGGTGGTATCAACATAATGTCTAACAAAAACTAAAAATATATTTTTTTATTTTTGTTTTATTGTGTGTCCTCATGTAGAGGACATCAGGTGTTAGTTATGCGAAGCATAGTATACAAACAACATTAACATACAAGTAAATTAACAACATTTGGAGCACAACAACTCAATCCAACAAATACTGAGCGCTCATTTGTAGTACTCCATCTTTTTTTGAAATGCAGAGATACATCTGACACTTGAGGCACTTGATGTATGTTTTCCCACTGCATCCGTCTGCTATGAACCCTACAGAAACCTAAGTGTTAGTTTTGGCCCAGAGTGGATTCCATTTGTGTTGTGTAAAATGTGGGAAATAAAAAGTTAGCAAATCCCCATTCATAAAAACATTTAGTTTTAGGTCAAATAATGATTACACTGCTCTGAAACTCACTACACTAACTCCTAAGATGTTCCCTTACTATAATTAATTAAATATATTGACCTCACAACACTGGTAATTACAAAATTACAAACTTACCATTTCCCTTTCTATAAATAGTGCTTGTGTTGATGGACGCCATTTTGAAATACAATGAAATTATCTTTTTCAAAGCCACACCCCCACATATGTCACATGTCTAAAAAATGCCCAGGATGTCCTCTGTGGAGTACAATTGGACTTAATGCTGTGGCATGTATAACCTCATAGTTATGGACCAAAACCAAATGTCCTCCACAGAGGAACAAAATGAATGGGTGGGTCTCAGGAGGATGTTTAAAGACATATTTAATAAGTACAATACAAGAAAAGCTCAAGTTTCATTTGTGGGCCGTATTCCATTATACTTTTTGAATTTTGAATTCAAAATGTCCCACGGGCCGCATTTAGCACCCGGGCCGTAGTTTGGACACCCCTGCTTTAGGGGAAACTGTGCCCCCTCCCCTCAGACAGCAGGGTCAGCTAGAGAGTCTTAAACCCATCAGGTCACTCGGTTGGAGGACAGTCCATCTACCTATCAGGTATGTTTTTTATTTGGTGCAGCCTCAGGTGTGCCTGGTGGTGGGAAAAACTAAAAGATGTATTGGTGTGTCAAACAGACGTCCCCTGTGGTCTTCAGTTCAACACCATCCATCTTTCATTCCCCCCACGTGTTCTTTACCAAAGCCCGACACGGCTGAACATATGGTGACTCTGGAAACTCAGGAGCAATTAGAGGAACAAATCTCACGGTCCAGAAACAGACACCCGAGGCAAAGTTCCTCTCATTTGTTGTCTCCTCTTCATTACCTCCTCTTCGTCTTGAAGCCAGCCCATGTGATTCAATGGCTCCAGTTTACAAGAAAGTACCCGTCATCAAGAGCTGTTGGCCTTCACCAGAATTAGATCCTGAGCGATGCAGGAGAAGAAAAGATGTGCGTATGACGTGTTCAATTGCTGAGACTGCTTTCCACCAAAAATAGAACAAAAGATTTCCATGTGCAAATGTGTCTGAAGTAGAGACAGAAGAGAGATGAAGGTAGAATATTGATATAAAGAGGACATTCAAAAAAGACAATTCAGCGGTGAGGCTTGACTAAATGTATACCTTTTTGTTGTCGAGTGAGACAGATGACAGGTGACTTTGGGACCGTTTTAGCTCTGTTAGGTTTTGATTCTTCTTGACATGAGTTTCCTGCAGGAAAAAGACAGAAGGTGCAAACAAAGTACATTTTGGAAAGACAGACACCATTTTTATTTTAATATTCGAGGTCCCTTAAGTAGAAGACAAGTTTTGGAGGAAGTATTTCCCTATATGCATAGTTTTTGATATCTATTTTGATTTCAAATGGGAAGTTTGGTTTCAAGAATAATCATTGAACTGTAGCTTTTAAGCATAAAAGAAAAGTCCTAAAATGTCCAGTGATATAATACATAAGAGATCTTGAGATGAATATTTTCCTTTCAAACACTGTTTCCAAAGTCAAGAATAAGAAGAGAAGAGGTTGTGTCTGTTTGGCAATTGGTGAAACAAATGCACTTTCTTTCCTCTAATTTACAGCAGTGTTTCATTCATGCAGGATGAATGCATCTTGGCAAAGTACCCCACTCTCCGCCCATTAGAAAGGCATTAGTCCCGGTGTGCATGTATAACTCTTGTAAACGCTGACTGACTGCCGCAGTCTCTTCAATCAATCAGCACACAACCACCAGCGTAGATTAGACTTTCAGATGCATTACTGAGATTGATGAGATTAAGCAACTGTTGGGGAGGACATGGAAATCAATTTTAGAGTTGTATCTGTTTATCTGAATCACATTTTCCCACTCTGCTGGGGTGATCTTTGTCTGGGTTGAAGCAATCTTCTCGCCCTGCTGATCCTGGCACAGAGCCTCAGGTGCTGCAGCTGGAGGAGCCACTGCTCATCTGCCTGCTCAGGACATGTCAATGAACTTCCATTAGTACAGCGCTAAAACTAGATGATCAACTAGCCTAGGGTTTTCCTCAAGTAAAATAATTGAGATACCAAATTTGATATTCAAGTGGACAATTTCACGTTGCAAATTCAATCTTGAGTTGGCTTTCTCCTGCTGATGAGTATTGTTACCCCTTTTAAACTGAGGAGAGATAACTTTGAATGTTTACAAAACACAAACCTACAAACCCTACTCATTGTGCCTTTATATATTCACGAACAAATGTACTCTACAATTTTTGATAGGTAATGTGTAATTTATATGGGTGTAAGTAACATCAATAAACAATCTTGTTTGATAGCCAGTGTCCTGGGATCACAGCAACCAGTTCCTGAACTTTCCTCAAACATTTTAGATTTTTGACCCAAGACATCTCAACCCAGTGAGAAGAAGCCAGACAAAACGACACAGACGTGAAATAACAACATAAATCAATGGTTCTCTGCTCAGTTCAGCACCCAGAGGTGTCTCTAGCATTTCAAGTGACACGCCCAGCATCGCTCGGTCTGCTCCACACTGACTGAAGAGTGTGTCAGGTGAATAATAATGTACAATGGATATGGGTCAGTCCCTCCATGAATCAATACCATCGGTGTAGCAGAGCTCCTCTGTGGTCTCTGATGGGCCCGCATTGGACAAATGTCTCCAGTAATGAGAGACTCACAGGGAACAAGCGGAGAAAACAAGTCAATACAAACGATGAGCAGAAAAACTTAGAATAGCTCTCACACATTTGTTTTCTCTCTGCCCCTTTAGCTGCTATTTTGGAACCATTACGTTTGTGATTTACTCCAGTGAGAGGACGTTTTGTCAATAACACCCTTAGGGAACGGCTGAACTGTGGCAGTCGATAATAAAAGACGGGAAATAGCAAGTATAGTTTATTTGCTTGTATTGGTTTCACCCTTAATACTTTCCACCTTTATAGTTGCTTTTGATGAGGCAGCATAACATCTTTAAATGTTTGCAAGCTTCCTGACCTGATGCACAATAGTGTACAAATAGATGAAAGAAAACAGCAACAACCAGCACTGCAGACACATAATAACTCAATATGGAGGTGAGTTACATTTGATATGAAGCTCACACTTACAGCAATGGAAAATGAAGCAATGCCCTGGATAATCCACAGCCCTCAGTTAGCTTTAATAAGAACTATTGTCTCTTGTTTGTCTGTTTGGCCTTATTGACCCAAGTAACAATATCGAGTGTACACAAAACTAATGAGGGCAGAAGGTTAATGAGTCTGGATGCCTTGCCAACTTGACTGAGTGCCTGCTTTGGAAGACTGCGTGCTCACATTATGAGTACAGGCCTTAATCTGATTTGATCAGTGCGTCCTGGTGAAGAAAGGAGCGGCTTCCTGCTGGCCACTGCCCTCAGGCTGATGTCACACACTCTGCGTGAAGTCTCCGAGAACTTGTAATGAGGCCAACCGAGGAACTTCTCTCTCCTGTCTTTCACAGGCGAGTGTGCATTGGCACGCACGCACGCACGCACGCACGCACACACACACACACACAGCTCAGAGTATACACATATACATACACACACTCAGTTTAACTAATAATTTGGATTTGAATAGCCAGAAGATTCTCGCAGACACATCTCGATCAATATCCTGATATATCCAAGGTTTACCGTGAATGCACAATATGATAGAAACACCTTGCAGTCCTACAGTGAACCTCTGTTTACTGGACACTGTCAAAGGATTTTACATAAACGTTATGGTTATTTTTCCGTTTGGATTTTCATTTCTGGGATTTTCACGTTACTGGAAGTGTCTTTGGCGTTACTCTGAAATTATATGTAATGATATGTTCATGAGAGTTTTGAAGTTACATTTGCAGCACAGACTTTTACTACTATTTTACTCCTTTACATTTCATGGACATACTATTTCCATGTTGTTCGTAAAGGATACTTTGGGTCCATACGTTTTGAAAATCTCAATCAAATCTTAGGAACAAAAGACAAATGAATATTTGTCCACTCTGCATTTGTCTGACCTCTCTTAAGCAGAACTCCCCTTCCTTCTCTTTATCCCACAAAAAACCAAAGCTTTCTCTCCAAGGAAAGGAGACATTTTACTGTGACTGTCTGCATGGTGTGAGTGAGCCGGAGAAAGGGTGAGTTAAAGAAGGGTGGGTGGTAGACAAGGTGCGCATTTTCTTTTTTGCCCAAGAGAGTTTTAGACAGATGCTGACTTACATATCTATTGAGCGCAGGGGCGTCGGTATCCATTCGTGAGGGAACGATCTTCCCCTGAAGATGGAGCTCAGTGAAGGTTCCAGTGCTGGGTGGTAGATAGAGCCGTGGAGCAGGAAATGGTGTCACACCCCGAGGAGTGAGAGACCGTTACAACCTGTGTGCTGGGAAATAAATATCCTGTGACACGGCCATGCATGTAATGGGAAAACCAAGAACCAAAACCCAAGGACACAAGCAGACAAGCCGAGCTTCAATATTAAGCAGTAAAACAAAGGCGGCTCATCACTCATTCTGTCTTCAGATCAATTGTGGTTCACACATTTCTTTCTACATCAATATTTAAGAAAGAATACACCTTTTTCCATGATTGATCAAAAAATAATTTGAGATTGACATTAAAATCCTTCTTCCTTCAATGTACATGTTGAGCAGATTCTAAGGATCAGACCTAAAGTTACTTGTTCAAATAGCATTTTCTGCCCCACTTAATCGAGAGATGAATATAGAGGAGAATAAGCTTGAGCTGTTTGAGCTTGAAGCCTGAAAATATTAAAAAGACATCTACAGTACTAAGTACAGATCGCGTTCACACCGGAACTTAGTTCCTGGGGGTGGGGGTGGATTAGGCAAATGAAGCCGCTGACGTCACTTCTTCTGCTTTGGGTTTACTGGCAGGCCGCAAACAACATAGATATGATATAAACACTAGATACTAGATGGCTCATGGGAGATTTTCCAGCGTAGATGACCGGCCGCCATCTTGCCACAGTCAACAGTTATACTGGTACGCGTTATGGTAGCTGTTGTAAGGTGAGTGATCTGCACAAAAATACTCTTAACTCGCTGAAATCTTGACTGATTTACAAACGGTTTGGTTTATTATAAACATTATTAGCATGGCTATGATACAGGATGCTTGGACATGTTGAAATTACAGCTTTTCTTTGTGTATGTGGTTGTATTTATTAGCTGGCTAATAACAAGAGGCTGTGAGTGAGACCTAGTATTACAAAGTTGACCCAGCAACTTTACACCACTGGGAGAGGCAGAACTGCTCTTTCTTTTCAACATAACTTAAGTTACACATGATTTCTTCCAAGTGGTTTGGCTTGTTAAAAACATCTTGCATTATGATACAGGAATTTGCTGGCTTTGTGTTTACAGAAGTACCTGACTATGCCGGACTTTTGTGCAGCCTACGGATGTTCCAATCGCCGCTGTCTGCCACCGACTATGTATTTATTAAATCTCCATGTTCCATGAGACGCAGCACTATGTTCCCCACTTATGTTTATGTTTGCTCAGTCTAATAAACCCATAACATGGTTGTGAAAGAATACCAAAGCTGAGGCTGGACGATGATTGATTGTTGGTGTGCCAAAGTGTCACCATGTGTCTTATTGGTTTTGTTCTATACTGTATTTTATTGTGTGCAGCTGGTCCTTATCTCCAAGACACATTTAAAACAAATAACCTTTAACCTTGAAGCCCCATCTCTCCCCACCTGCTCCTGCTTCCTACATCCCCTCCACACCACACCAAGTTGTTCTTCTTAATAATAATAATACATTTATTTTGGGGGGTCGCCTTTCATAACACCCAAGGACACCTTACAGGGGCATAGGGGCAATATAGGGAACAATTTAAACAGTGAATTTTGTGATATATCAGCCGGGGTGAGACAAGACAAACCACAAATGGACTACAGAAGGACACAAAAGGACACATGGTACAGTTTATATTATTCGTGGTCTTTTTTCAATAACATATTTCAAAGGTTCTGGATTTGTTTAAAACTAGGATGATATGAAGATCTCATGTCAAAAATAATTGTGATAAATGAGAGAACTGGCCTGTCTGTGAGAACATTTTATGTTGGTTTGGTTCTTCTGATAAAGGTGTGAATATCTAAATAATATACCAACATATGCTATTGTCATTAGTTGTTTTATCAGAAGAACCAAACCAACATAAAATGTTCTCACAGACAGGCCAGTNTTACTCGGAAGGCTTCAGTAGAAGCTGCTGGGACTGAAGCCAGTCCCTAACTCCGGGGACTTCCGGCCGGGGATTTTGGGCGCCGTGAAGTTGTTTGGCATAGATATATAAACACTCGATGAGACCGACGTTGCCACTTGGCCGCCATCTTGCCACAGGCAGTTCTCTCATTCATAACATTATGGTTTACTATTTAAATAACCATAGCTTGCTCCATTTTTAACCAATTTTCAAACGGTTTGGTTTCAAAGATGTAGTTATGATACTGCATACTTATAATCATGGACTTTCATATGAAAATAACATTAATCAGATAAAGCAATAGCTATACACACACACACACAAGGTATTTATATTAAATATTTGCCGGTGTATATATTTCCATTAATTTTATTATATTGTTAATATTTAAAATAAATTATAAATAAATTATAAAATTAAAATACATTTATATTTTATATATAAAAATCGGTCTCATGTTACCACTCTGTAAGCCAAGAGTTGTTAACACTAGAACCGCCAGAGGTCGCTGTATACCTAAAACCGCCAACGGGTAAAATGTACCCGCTATAGATTTTCAAGGTACAATGTTCTTTTATTTATCATACAGAACAGTGAGTTTTGATCGCACAGGGATGAAACTTATACCAATATAATCTGTGGACTCTCAGCTTTTCATATGATATAGGTTGT